TTGGCATCGATTGTTGTTTACAATTCACTCGTTTGTTCGTCTTCTAAGTTTCTCGGTCATCTGATATCATATGTGTATCTAGTTTTTCCCATCTTCGTTATCTGTCAATTAATCTCAGCATCAACCGTTCTCGGTTCTCTGACAACGTTGTGCGTGCAGCATTCTATATCTCATACTCTTCGACCTTTAATGATATCTTCACATCCTAATTCTTTCATTTATTTTTCGAAAATTTGAAGAAACTTTAGGTATATAAGATTTGTTAATTTTGGTAGATTTTATTTTATTGATACATGTTTTTGGCTATCGATCGTTGTTTAAATTCATAGATCTTGTTATGTTGATTTACTTATTTTAAGAGGGGTTTATTTTTGTGATTAAAAGTCTTTGATCCATTTCTATTCAACCATTTTCCAGTAGCAATAGGGGTGAAAAATGAAACTTTAGCTTACGGCATCTTTTTAATTGGAAAAGTTTAAAGGGCATTTTTTATTTGTTTCATTTAGTTTAACTCAAATAATAAAATTATGGAATCATAAACTTAAACGTTAAAAACTTTTTGATAATTAAATTAAACAAAACATAGGTCTAAATAATAAAAAAATTATGGGTTTCTAATAGTTAAGTAACTAAAAATATAAAAACAATTCTTAATTGTTAAAGAATTAAAATAAAATAAACATAGAATTAGTTTCTTAGATTAAGTAACTTGACAATTTTTGTTTTTTATTCGAATATATCACATAAACAAAATAATTTTTTTATCCATCGAAAAAAATTTAATTAAAAGTTTTGATTTTGAAAATTTGATTAACAATTTTGTTGAACAAAAATAAAAAGAAATTAAGTTTTGTAACTAATGTTTTGTTTACTAGTTTTTAGTTCTTTATATGTCTTGTTTTCTATATGACGATAATATTTGTTAATATAGATGATGTTTTTTTTAAGAAGTGAGGCATCTTTTTTTTTCAATCGCTTCGGGCATCCGTCAATGTTGGCACGGCTCTGCCCCCACCCCACCCACCCATCTATTTATTCTAACCACTGAAAAATCCTCACCAGCTTCATGCTCAATCTCTCAAACCTCAATTAACCACCATAATTCAACCATCCTCTACTTTTTTTACCCTGATTCTTCCCATCTTCCCACAGAAAAATACTCACTAGCTTCATCCTTAATTTGTCAAACCTCAAACCCCATAAAACCAAACACCAAATGCTCTTTATCCTCTACAAACAAATAACTCTTTTTCTACTTTAACTTATTGTTCGTAAGACTTTCACTCTCCAAAGTGAAACCTTGTTATGGTTGAACCTCCAAATGATAATGAAAATATGGTGTTGCATATGGGATGCATTTGAATGGAGCTGCACTTTTTGCTATCGCTGCTACAATTGGTACTTTGTTACAAGGATGGGATAACGCATCTCAATCTGTACTATCCAGACTTGTGTATTTGAATTCAAGATCGAAAAGAGGTTCGTATGCTCATGAGTTTGTTTTTTCTTTTTTTCTGATCAAATATGGTCATGTGTTATAATTGTGATTATGTTAGAAGAACTTAGAATTACTGCTGATGTATCTGGCGTTTCTCTGTTTTACCATTCTTGTATATTGATTAGGAAATATGAGGGTGATCCGGAAGGCCTGATTGTGGCAATGTCACTTACTGGTCGCACCCAATGCTGTGTCACCTCTCGACCGAGGCCAGATCGGAAAAATGCCACCATCGATCTGCTTTTGCAAACGTCTTCCTTTGTATATTTACAGAAATCTCTTTAGATTAAATGAAGAGGAGAAACAGAGAGGAAAACCCAAACTTGTAAAAAAAGGAAGTTCAATATCATAATATCCGAAATTACAACCGTTTTATTTGAAATCACAAACCCGTAGATCAGTAAACATCCAACCCCTCTCTAAACGTCCCATCAACTTTTTACTACTCTCTCTAATCAGTGCCTGACAAACCAAAGACATGCCCAAAACAGACGAAACAAAACTCAGAGACCATTCATTGTCCTTGTACTGAAATAACCCATCTCTCTAGTTTTCTCTATCTCGAGTGGATACAAGTTTCAAGTTTCAATCTTTTATTATCATCTGTAAATTACAGAGAATGATGATCTATTTCCAATCCCTAAACATCAGAAATCACCTGGAGATGCTACTGACAAGCCTAGCACCAATCTTATCAAGCTTCTTCACAGAAGCAACAGATTTCAAATGTCCAACATTCCTAAACGCTTCCACCATCTTCTCTCCAATCACTTCTCCTTTCGCCTCCGAGTCAATCACCGCAACCGCCGTTGGTCCAGCACCACTAATTGTACATCCAAAAGCTCCAGCTTCCAAAGCTGCCTTTTTCACAGCTTCCATTCCAGGAATCAACGGAGCTCTCTTCGGCTCAACAACTTTATCCGACGATAACGCTTTCCCAAGCATCACCGCGTCTCCTTCTAACACCGCCGCAACCAAAGCAGCCGCTTGACTACTATTCCAAACATGGTGAACCATAGGAATCTCTGTAGGCAATGCAGCTCTCATCTTCTTAGTTGGAGCTTCAAACTCAGGGGTCACTAGAACAAAGTAAAGCTCTTTATCTACAGGGAATCTCAGGGGTTTAAGATCAAGCGGTTCGTAGTTTCGAATCAGAACAAATCCTCCCATAATCGCAGGTGCTATATTATCAGCATGATAACCAGAAACCTTAGCTTCCGATTCTAAACCGGCTAATACCAATTCATCATTCCCTAATTTCCGACCAAAGATCTCGTTAACCGCTACGGCGGCTGCAGCGGCACTAGCTGCACTCGAACCTAAACCACTCCCTAAAGGAAGACCTTTATGCAAATCTAAAGACAGACCAACCGATCTGATCCCTAACATCTTCATCGTCGCAATAGCAGCGATACCGGCGCAGTTCCGGAGTGGGTTTGTGCTTAGTTTCGTCGTGGTTCCGGTGATCTCCGAGATTAAGATCTCACCGGCGCGAACGGAAGGATCTACACGGAGAGTCACGTGGTCTCCGAGACCGTCGACGGCGCATCCCAAGAAATCAAAACCTGGGCCCAAATTAGCGACGGTCGCCGGAGCGAAAGTCTTGACGGAGGTGAAAATCGGCTCTGGCTCGACGGCGACGAGGGTTTGAACGGAAGCTCTGCATCGAAAGACTGAGACTTTCGTGAATAACGTCGGCGATGGTTTGGATTTGAATTGGAAATACGAAATGGGTTTTGAGGGAGACTGGAAACAGAGAGTCGCCATTGTTGAAAGAGTAAACAGAGAACAACAAAAAGCAAATATTTATATAAGAGAGTGAAGCAAACGTGACCACCTAACCTAATGTTTAAAAGCTGATTGCTTTTAGAGAGTGGACTGAGATCAGATTCAGATCTCGACATTGAAATTAACGGCTTAACCACAGAGCTCTAAACCGAACTGAACCGGACCGACATTTCGGTTTAACGACAGAGCTCTAAACCGAACTGAACCTGAAAGCTTGTCCACTATATTAGTCTTACAGTTTACAAGAATGAAGTTAAGTTATGTATAATCTTGCTTAACAATGTACGGAGGTGTGAGTAAAAATGTAGAGATGAATAGCTTCTAGTTCATATTGGACTAGATACACTCCTCGAGATAGTATTCGAATTCATAGAAAGATTGTTCCTTTTGCGCTTCGACTTTGGCTTTGAATTTACTTCCTTTTGATCAAGATATGCTAGAAAAGATTGAAGCTTTTTCAGAAGTGGACTTTGTGGTGAAGGTATAGCTTCTTCTTCTTCTGACTTGTGTTTGCAGAAGCCGCGGACTACCTTGAAGAAATGGATAAAGAAAGCGACAAGACCAGCGATCCCACAGCCTAGGAACAAGCCCCAGAAGCTACGCACATTGAGCTGTTCTGAGTCACCTGACTGTGCCCCTCGCGGTTTACTGCAATTAGATTTTGACAGCCATCTGTCATGGATCTTCTCAAGTTCTCCGGTTTCAGATAGGCCGAGAATCGCGGTTGACATGTCCACTGCTAAAGGAGAGTCTCTTGGGAATGCCTTTTTTTTTTGTGAAGAGAAAATGCAAAATATTGATCAGATTGTGTTCAATAAGATGTATGTAAAAAGAGAGAACAAACTTTGGAAGATGACTCACAAATCCCCAACCGCATCTGGTGAATTCTTGGCCTCTGATGGCAAACTTA